TCATTATTTTTACCACGACCTAATAACACGATTTGGCAATGCCACTCAACACGTAACTCTACCCTGCTTCTCATATGCTGCTGTCGTGGAATATGTGCGTAAAACAAAAGTAATGACTAAAAGCTGAACATGAGTGCTCAGCCCTACCATCGTCCTCATCCCATAGTTTCACCTTGACACCGACAGCCGGTCGTTCACCGCAGAGCAGTTGACCGCGCACTGCAACTGACTGTTGGCGCATAGCCAAGCATGAACCAATCAGTGCAAATGTAAGCAGCCAAACCATTTGCGACATGGTAAACAACCTGAAGATTACTTGTTCACTAGAGACTGAAATTTACCGAATTTAATGCAGTAACAAACTATGTCCAAGGAAATGAAGCAATCGAAAGTCCGAAGGTGGGATATCTCAGCCTGACTAGAACTCTTTAGTCCATTCGCCAAATACTCGGCAGTGCCATACAGAAACGCGACTTGTTGTGACAGTTGAAAAAAATTCAAAAGTGGCCGAGTAGCAGCTGCTTAAAAATTTCGAGCTATTTCTTAAACTTTAATTTCACGAAAGGACTGAAACCAATACACCCTGCTGCAAACCTTAGCGATGCACCCCACAATTGGAAAGTTTGGCATTTGAAAAATGGGCTGAAAGACGAGTACGTTAGTGCAATTCGCCCAGCACGTACATAAAGTCAACGGCTAATGCCGTTTGGACTCCAGAAAGTTAGGCTACCGAGCTCATTTATCAAAATGTGACAAGATCAACCAGATTCTAAAAACTTGTATATAGGAGTAAGCCAATATCCTATCAGCGAATACGACATTCATGTTTGGCGCTGGCGCCCCCCCCCTACTCCCAACCTTAATGGATGACACACCGTTACTTGTTCTCTTGCTAATCAGCGAGGCCAGGAGTAATCGTATGCCTCTCTTGGCGCCAACGCCAAGAATGAGTGTCATACGCGTAATCAGGATGCTGAAATACCACTATACAAGTTTCTAGTGGATTTGGTGGCTTAGGCAATTTGAAAATGAGCTCGGAGCCAAATTTCTGGAGTCCAAACGGCATTAGCCTAAGTCAACTTGCCAACGAGAATCAGCACACGATCTCATTGACTTTAGAGTTTTATGGGTAGGAAAACGAAAAAAGAAGCCGACTTGAAACTATGATATACAGCAACATCTAGACTGAACCCTATTTCTAAAACACATATGTGGGCACAAACAAGTGAACACGATGAGAGGCAGAGGCATTGGGTCACCCTCCTTGATCCAGACCGGGAACGAGCTGGTGTGAGGATCATGCTTCACACCAGCCCGTCACATGAACGTTCGCAGAATTGAGACCGTTGACATATCTCCTTCTCAGGTGGGTGAAGGAACTCCTTGATGCGGAACTCATTCAGCTGATGACGATCGCAGCAACCTTGTCACTCAGTGTTGAGCTACGAGGATGGTACAACCTCTACGACATTTACCGACGGCCCCAAAGGTGTGGGGCAGCTGGCATATCTCGCCTCCAGATGGGTAAGGAACCTTCTACGGGTGGCTCTCCCTCATCTTATAATGATCACAGCGCCGCTATCACTCACTGCGGAGTCTCGAAAGTAGGACATCCTGTGGGATCCCATATCGTACTATCTGTCCAAAAAATGTTCTACCCATCGCACGACCGCAGGTTGTGTCATTGAGGTTAAGCAATCAGATGTCGAGTTGAACAGATTGTCCACTACAACCTCTACCATCAGAAAGGTATACAACAACCCGACTGCAGGGTTGCAGTAAAAGAACTGCAAAACGAAGCGTTTAGAAGTGGTGTAGTTCTCACATAATGGGATTCCTTTAGTAGAATACCAAGAAAGCATTTGATATTATCTTTGGCCAAATCACGAGTCATTTACCCTTCCGGAAACTGGGAAACTGTCACTCGACTGCCGATAAGCCCTGCTATCTTCTTCATAAGCCATATGATTACGTTAACCGCTATCTATTCATGTAAAGAACAGTTTGAA